ATGCACGGTATTATTTCTATTTTCTTATATTTGCTGAGGCTTGCTTTGTGCCCTAGGATATGATCTATTTTGGAGAAGGTTCCATGGGCTGCTGAGAAGAATGTATATTGTGTAGAGGTTGGATGAAATGTTCTGTAGACATCTACTAGGTCCATTTGATCTATTGCATATTTTAGATCTTGGATTTCTTTATTGAGTTTTTATTTGGATGACCTATCTATTGATGATAATGGGGTGTTAAAGTCTCCCACAACCACTGTGTTGGCGTTTATATACGCTTTTAGGTCTTTCTGGGTATGTTTGATGAAATTGGGTGTGTTGACATTGGGTGCGTACAGATTGATGATTATTATTTCCTTTTGGTCTATTTCCCCTTTTATTAGTATGGAATGTCCTTCTTTATCTCGTTTGATCAATGTAGGTTTGAAGTCTACTTTGTCAGAGATAAGTATTGCTACTCCTGCCTGTTTTTGGGGGCCATTGGCTTGGTAAATCTTCTTCCAGCCTTTCATCCTAAGCATATGCTTATTTCTGTCGGTGAGATGAGTCTCCTGTAAGCAACAAATTGTTGGATCTTCTTTTTTAATCCATTTTGTCAAACAGTGTCTTTTGATGGGTGAATTAAGTCCATTAACATTAAGCATTAGTTAGGTATGTGGTGATTCCTGCCATTTAGTTGTCTTAGTTGTTTGAAGGTTTGATTGTGTGTACCTAACTTGATGTTACTCTCTACTGTCTTGCTTTTTCTTATCCTGTGGTTTGGTGCTGCCTGCCTTTTCATGGTTAAGTTGGGTGTCACTTTCTGTGTGCAGGATCCCTTGCAGAATCTTTTGTAATGGTGACTTTGTGGCCACATATTGTTTTAGTTTCTGCTTATCATGGAAGACTTTTCTTGCTCCATCTATTTTGAATGATAGCTTTGCTGGGTAGAGTATCCTGGGGTTGAAGTTATTTTCATTCAGTGCCTGGAAGATCTCACCCCATGCTCTTCTTGCTTTTAATGTTTCTGTTGAGAAGTCTGCTGTGATTTTGATGGGTTTACCTTTGTATGTTACTTGTTTTTTCTCTCTTACAGCCTTAAATATTATTTCCTTAGTTTCTGAACTTGTTGTTTTAATGATGATATGTCGTGGAGTAGTTCTATTTTGATCTGGTCTGTTTGGTGTCCTGGAGGCCTCTTGCATTTGTATGGGAATATCTTTCTCTAGATTTGGGAAATTTTCCGTTATTATTTTGTTGAATATATTACGCATTCCCTTCGCTTGCACCTCTTCTCCTTCTTCGATGCCCGTGATTCTCAAGTTTGGTCTTTTGATGGAGTCGGTGAGTTCTTGCATTTTCTTTTCACAAGTCTTGAGTTGTTTAATTAATAGTTCTTCAGTTTTTCCTTTAATTACCATTTCATCTTCAAGTTCTGAATTCTGTCTTCTGTTTGTTCTATTCTGCTGGATTGGCCTTCCGTTTTGTTTTGCAGTTCTGTTTCTTTCTTTTTTCTGAGGTTTTCCATATCCTGGCAGTTTTCTTCTTTAATGTTGTCTATTTTTGTCCTAAGTTCATTTATCCGTTTATTCATTGTGTTCTCTCTTTCACTTTGGTGTTTATACAGTGCTTCTATGGTTTCCTTTATTTCTTCTTTTGCTTTTTCAAATTCTCTATTTTTATTGTCTTGGAATTTCTTGAATGTCTCCTGTACATTTTGGTTGACCCTATCCAGTATCTCTATAAAATTCTCATTGAGTACTTGTAGTATGTCTTCTTTTAAATTATTCTTGTGGGCTTCATTGGGTCCTTTGGCATAGTTTATCTTCATTTTGTTGGAGTCTGGATCTGAGTTTCTGTTCTCTTCATTCCCCTCTGGTTCCTGTACTAATTTTTTGCTGTGGGGAAACTGGTTTGCCTGTTTTTTTCTGTCTTCCCGTCATTGTCCTTGGTGTTGTTACTGTCCCTGTACTGTGTGCAATTAAGTACTTTCTAGCTTGTAATAATAACAATGGTAATATTTAGAATAGAAGGATGAGCTGAGATGGAAAGCAAGAAGTTAAAGAAAAGGGGAAAACAAATATACAGACAAGAGGGAGAAAGCAGAACAAGGTATCAGACAAGAGAGTTTCGAAGGTATAAACAGGGAGTGTTAGTGTACTAATCGACAGTAAGCTTGTCCGCGTCTTCCCAAGCTGTATGGGCGCTGGCCACTGGCGGCCCCGGGGGCCCTCCTCGTTTCTCCGTTTAACGTGAAGTGGAGATTCTCTGCACCGGCTCTAGCCGCCATCTTGGAGTCTCTCCGCACTGTCTTGATTACTGTGAAAGTTTGTAGCAGTATCACTTATAACAGCAAAAAAGCAATGACATTTCCTAACATCTCAAAATAAACAACCCAAATGTCTATCAACTAGCATTTGATTGTATCAGTCTGATGGGTTATAATCACATTTGGGTATACCTCTACAATGGAATTTAACCAGACAATAAAAAGAAATGTAGCATTTCCTCAAAATTTTAGAACAGAAACTGGACATGATGTTCAAACCTGTCATCCCAGTTCCTCATGAGGTAGAGGCAGGAAATTGTGAGGCAAGACTAGGTGAAATTAATGAACGCTGTCTCAAAATCAAAATACAAAACACATCGTTCTTGTTCTCACTCTGGAGACAACTCACTTTTAGTCTCTTGAAAGTGTATTTCTTTCTTAATAAACATTACTATTACTTTGACTACAAAAAAAAATACTAAAGAAAAGGGCTGGGGTGGGGCTCTAGAGGTAAAGGACTTCCCCAGCAGGTGAGAGACCCTGGGCTCAATCTCCAGTACAGCAAAAATAAAAAATTAAGAATAGAATTAGTAAGAGAAAAGAGACCTGGTGTTTAAAGGGTGTCACAAATGAGCAAAATTTCAAATGCCTGTACAATTTGATTCAGTGACTTTATTTCCAGGAAGACATCCAATTTACACTGGAAGAAATGCAAAATGAACCCTGCCCAAGGCAGTATAGTAGCATTATCTCTAAGAGAAAATGATGGGGGACTACCTACCACTTTTTTCTGTTTTCAAAATATATATACATATATATGTGTGTGTGGTGTGTGTGTGTAATCTATTTTGTATTAATTATTGGTTTTCCTAGGAGCACTGGGGTTTGAACTCAGGGCCTCATGGTTGCTAGAAAGGAATTCTACCACTTGAGCCACGTGGTAGCCCTTTTTTGCTTTAGTTATTTCTCAGGTAGGGTCTTGCACTTTTGCCTAGGGCTGGCCTCAGACTGTGATCCTCCTACCTATGGCCTCCCATGTAGCTGAAATCACAAGCCTGCACCACCACACCCGGCTTATTGACTGAGATGGAGGTCTTTTGCTAATTTATTTTGCCCAGTCTGACCTCAAACAATGATCCTCCTGAGTAGCTGGGATTACAAGTGAGTCCTACACCTGGGCTTAATTATGGTTTTAATTATACAAGTTTCCATATTCTTGTGGCATTAAATTTGTTTGATTAACACATGATAATTGGACATACTTATGGGCCACATTGTGATGTTTCAATATATGTAATGATCAAATCAAGATAATCACAATAATATATTTTATGAATAACCAGAAGAAAGGAACTTGAAGGCTCCAATCACAAAGTAATGATAAGAACAAGGAAACAAATTTATTTGGAAGTTTGCCTCTGTGAACACAGAGGTGCATGGATTTGGTTCTCTGCTTTCAATTCTTCAGGGTGTATACCAGCATCTTCATTTTTATTAACATATATTAAATTGTACAGATTAAGGGGTTTCATTGTGACATTTTCATACATGTATATAAGGTACTTTGATCATATTTGCCCCCTCATTGCTCTTTCTTCTTTTCTCCCTCACCACCTTCTCTTATCCCCCTCCCTCCTCCTGCTGCCTCTTCCCCCAAATATTTCCCCTTCTGTTCTCATGTTTTTTGTTGTAATCTAGATTCTGAATATGAGAGAAAACTTGTGCTATCTGTCTTTCTCAGTCTGGTTTATTTCACTTAACATGATGATCTCCAGTTCCATCCATTTTCCTGAAAATGACATCATTTCGTTCTTGTTTATGGCTGAATAGTACTCCATTTTGTATATATGTCACATTTCCTTTATTTGTTCATCATTGATGGATACTTAGGCTGATTCCACAGTTTGGCTATTATAAATAGTGCTGCTTTAAACATGGGACTGCAGGTGTCTCTAATGTATGCTGACCTCCATTCCTTTGTGTATATGTCCAGGATGGTAGGATATTATGAAAGTTCTACTTTTAGTTTAGGTTTTCATAGTGGCTGCACTAATTTATATTCCCACTAACAGTGTATGAGGGTTCTCTGTTCCCCCACATCCTCACCAGCAATTGTTTTCTTTTTTCCTTTTTGGTGGGGGGGTGGCACTGAGGTTTGAACTCAAGGCTTCACACTTGCAAGAAGGCACTCTACTGCTTGAACCACATCTCTAGTCCATTTTGCTCTGGCCATTTTGGAAATGGAGTATCAAGAACTATTTGCCCAGGCTAGCCTTAAACTGTGGTCCTCCTGATCTCAGCCTCCCAAGTAGCTAGGATTAAAGATGTGACCCACCAGTGCCTGGTTCCAGCTTGTTTTCCTGATGACAGTCATTCACTGCAGTGAGATGGAATCTCAGTGTGATTTTATTTGAATTCCTTTATGGCTACGGATATTGAGCACTGCTTCATGTATTATTAGCCATTTGTACTTCTTCTGAGAACCGTTTGCTCAATTTATTTGTCCATTTATGCATTGGATTTTTTGTGACATTTTGGAAGAACTCAGCCTTGTCCTGTTATTCCTTTGGCTCTTCTTTGTATAATTCTTGAGAGCTGCCTGCTTGATTTAGATGATGCTGGGTTGTCCCAGGAGGTCCTCCACAGAAGATGGACACAGTGCTCCCCTGCAGAACCACCGGACCAGGTGTGGCCCAGATGGAAGGCATGGATGGAGTCACTGGAAGTGAGACAACTGAGCATTTCAGAACATCTGGATGTCAAGAAATCTCCTTTGTTCTGAGCAGTGGATCAGCTCTTGGGAACTGGAGACACCCTTCCCAGGTTTGAATCCTCATTCTGCCACTTCCTATGTCTGAGACCTTAGTCAAGGACTTTCCTCTCTGTGCTCAGTCTCTTTGTCTATAAAATGGGAATAAAGGTAGAACCTGCCTTCATCAGTAGTATTTGACACAATAGATCAGTCCTCCATGCAACACTGCCTTTGTTTTGTTCCTGGACTCCATGTGCTCTTGGCTCATCTCCTATTTCCCTGGATGCTCCTTCTCTGTGTTCTTCTCATTTCCCCAGCATCTAAATTGTGCAGTGACTGTACCACTGAGCTACATCCCCAGCCCTTAGTATTTGTCATGCAGCCCTGGTTGGTCTCAAACTTGTGATCCTCCTTCTCTGCCTCCTGAATGCTGAGATTACAGGCATGTGCCACCACACCTAGCTTCTTTTAGTTTTTTGACGGCTGTGATGATGCTATCTGAGGCATCTAGACAGGGAGTCCTGGGGTGACTGGTGGGGTTCACGAGTAAGAGGATAGGGCACGTGCCCTTGGTCGTATGGACTTCCTTCCCTTTGGAGCAGGGCAAGGTCAAAGGAGAACCCAAGTGGGGTCTTCTCAGGAACAGGTACCCATATTCCTGAGTCTATGAGCAGGGCACAGCTCTACCTCATGGCCTTTGCATTTACTGTTTCCTCTACCTGGAATGTTTTTCTCTAGATACCCTTTTTTTTTCTTTTGAAACCACAGCTTCATGCATACTAAGCAAGCACTCCACCACTGAGATACATCCTCAGTCCTCCCTTAACTCCCTGTGTGGCTTGCTGCTACATCTTCTTCAACTGTTAAAAGAATTAGTCAGCCCTTCAGGGAAGATTTCTGTGGTTCCCTTTTTCTACATGCACATCCTCACACCTGGGAATCATCTTTCGCCACCATGTTTTTCTTCATAGCACATAACAACATCAAACTTATTTGTCAAGCCATCGCTATTTCTCTTATGGTCCGTCTCCCTATAATTACAATTCAAGCTCCATACTTGGTAGATAGTACTTTATCTTATTCACTCCTGTGCACCCCAAAAAAGTGTCAACCTGAGCTACATAGTGAGACTCTATCTTGAAACATATTTTAAAACCAAAAGAGTAAGTGCTGAGTGTCTCACAGGAATGACACAGAGATTAAATGGTGTATTTCCATGTAATGGGCTTAAAATAGTGCCTAAAACATGGTCAGATTTTAATAAATGCTACTTGGTAATTACTTTTATAAGTAAACACACAAATAATAAATATTCATGGGGAGAAATAAGATTCACTTGATGTGGATCTCTGAGACTAATCTTCAGTTGCCTGGCAATGAGTTTGTTGGAACTGATGGTCACCTGGCTCTACAGTAACAGAGTCCTGCTGCCAAACTCAACTTCCCAGTTCTCCATGTACCAGTGGCTCTCTCAGCCCTGCTCTGAAAGACAAGGTCATGAGTGAAATCATTTTGGTGCAAACAATCTGTTCATTGGGAACTCAACACCATTCTCAAGCTTGCCAACATGTATTATTGGACTGTATGCTACAGCTGACACCAATGGCCTATCCAGACACCTCCCCAGAGAACACCCAAGAAAGGGAGCTCCTGTGTCCATTGGTTTTGTGCTGGCCAATTTCCACCTTCTCCAGGAAGTTTCGTTGTTGTCTGAGTCCATTATGCTACTCAGACGACATGTGTGCAGGATGCACAGACACCTAGTAGTGGAATTTTTTTAAACTCCTCATCTCAAAGGATAAGGAGACATGAACTTGGCTGACTTTCTTTAATTCCTGGGATGAGATGGTTTTGAAGGCAGCTCTCGCTGTTGCTGAATAGGACACTCACAATATACATTGTGCTTGTTTGGGAATATTTGAACCTTGTCCTAATGCTCATAACAGATCAGAAATACAGATTTTTAACAACATACAAGAGAGACACCTGCACATCCATGTTTATAACTGCACTGTTCACAATTGCCAAGATGTGGAATCAGCCCAGGTGCCCAAAAAATGCTGAATGGATAAAGAAAATGTGGTATATATACACCATGGAGTATTATCCAGCCATAAAGAATGAAATTCTGCCATTTGCAGGAAAAGGGATGGAACTGGAGATCATCATGTTTTGTGAGATAAGCCAAGCTCAAAAAATGCCAAATATCATGTTTTTGCTTATATGTGGAATGTAGATCTAAAATTATGATGATGATGATATTGATGATGATGAAGAAGAAGATAATGGCATTTGAGTATAAAGGAGGGATTGTCTGGAGAAGATCAGTGGGGGAAAGGAAAAGGAGAGAGTACTGGAAGGTGAAGAGGCTCAAAGTATGTATGAAGATACTGTAATGAAATCCACCAAATACTGTTTGAAAAGGGAAGAGAAGGGAGGATGTTAAGGGAGTGCAGTGGAGGGGGTAAACTTGTTTTCATCTATGAATCTTTTATTCATCTATGAATATTGTATTCATCTATGGAATTATCACTTTGGGTTTGGTTTGGTTTGGTCTTATCATATTATTATTAAACTGGGGGGGGTCCATTGTGACATTTACAAAACTGCTTGCAATAAATCTTAGTCAAATCCACCCCCTCCATCATTCAATGAAACCATTTGTACTATTAAAGTATGCTTAATAAAAAATAGTATAAAAAGGAAAAAGAAATACAGACTTTGGTAGCAAAGCAATGTTAGTTGTGAGGTCTCATGAGAAAAATCACAGGCTTTGTCCTCTTTAGACTGGGTATAAAGCATGGGGTCTGCAAAATCTTCCTTGGAAATGTGTTTGCTAGCTTACAAAAATGGTCCTGTTAGATTTTTGTGGTGGCACTGTCTGGCTAGACAGGTGCTCTACCACTTGAGCCACTCTTCTAGCCCACGTTAGATATTCTTTATCACTTGCAGACTAAAAGATATAAATGAAGCCCTGAGTTCAAACCCCAGTACTACCAAAAATTAAAAATAAGAAACAAAAGTGCTGTATAAACATCAGCCAATTACATTAAACCAGTATATCTGCCTTTACTGTGTGTCATTAGCCTGAATAGAAGGAACTTTGAAGATTTTTTAGAAAGCATTTGAATGAAATTTACTTGGTATTTTATTTATTTGATAAAGCACTTAATTACCTCTGAGTGTGACTAAGTACTGTTGCTAAACCCCACCAAGCTGGGGAGCTTCAACCCCCTCCCCAGTAAAATTGCCATAATAGTCATATAATGAAGCCTGAATGTTAAGTAAGTTGTATATTAACTTTCTACTCATCCCAAATGAATACAAGACACGTGTGGTCAAGACAGAACATTTACCCAAATTTTTGGATGGGACACAAGCCCTGGGCTACATACGTTGAGAGTGATTGCCACGGTGACCTTGATATATTGGGTCATTTTTGGTCATTTCTCTAACAACCCAGACCTCATTCCCTATCCACATGACTTCTAGAACTGATTTAAAAAAAGTTTTACCAGCCAAGATGCCCCACCACCGACGAATGGATTAAGAAAATGTGGTATCTATACACAATGGAATTTTATGCAGCCATGAAGAAGAATGAAATGTTATCATTTGCTGGTAAATGGATGGAATTGGAGAACATCATTCTGAGTGAGGTTAGCCTGGCCCAAAAGACCAAAAATCGCATGTTCTCCCTCATATGTGGACATTAGATCAAGGGCAAACACAACAAGGGGATTGGACTATGAGCACATGATAAAAGCGAGAGCACACAAGGGAGGAATGAGGATAGGTAAGACACCTAAAAAATTAGCTAGCATTTGTTACCCTTAATGCAGAGAAACTAAAGCAGATACCTTAAAAGCAACTGAGGCCAATAGGAAAAGGGGACCAAGAACTAGAGAAAAGGTGAGATCAGAAAGAATTAACCTAGAAGGTAACACCCACGCACAGGAAATCAATGTGAGTCAATGCCCTGTATAGCTATCCTTATCTCAACCAGCAAAAACCCTTGGTCTTTCCTATTATTGCGTATACTCTCTCTACAACAAAATTAGAAATAAGGGCAAAATAGTTTCTGCTGGGTATTGAGGGGGTGGGGGCAGAGTGGGTGGTAAGGGAGGGGGTGGGGGCAGGGGGGAGAAATGACCCAAGCCTTGTATGCACATATGAATAATAAAATAAAATAAAATAAAAAATAAAAAAAGTTTTACAAGCACTATCATAAGTCCCACCCAAACATCATCCCATCATGAAATGCAGGGCCAGGATCCAATCAGACTACTGGGTTGCTAGGGCTTCACAATTTGCAAATGTGAAGCCAAAACTTCCATGTACATCTGCCCTCAGGGCCAGAACACCTTCCCCCACAAGAACATGTCCCTTGGAGACACAGAGAGGAGAGTGGCAGCCAAGATGAGCCATCTGACTGGCAGGTCCATCCACATCTCTATGTCCTGTGTCAGCCTCAGTCCTGCCTTCCCTCAACCTGAGGGCATTTTGGGGGTCCCCCTGCTGTCCATGTAGAACTGTGGAGGGCAGGCGATTTCTCCCTGTCTTGACCAGACACTGCCTATGTGGTGCAGGGAAGCCAGAGGATACCCAAGTCTGGCTGGGAAAGGAGGCTGTGAGTTCTGTAGGCCCCTGTGGCTGAAGGTTGAAGCCCCTTCAGTTCCTCTGGCCAGGCAAGATCAAGTTACCTTGTGTGACAGAAGGACCCAGGGGCTTGGGAGATGGACTTACCATCCTGTGCCCAGATTCCATGACTCAGATGCAGTCCTGAAAGAGAGAGAAAGGCTGGTGATGGGGACTTCTCCCAGCTCCCGGTTTACAGTCTTGGGCTGGGTCTGTGAGCTGGTATCTGGGGGCCAGCGCAGAGCTGGAGTAGAAGACGATGACCACTTGAGTAAAAGCAGACACTAGAGTCAGGGACAGTCACCTCAGCTCCCACCTACTGTCTCTCCCAGCACTCACCAAGGTAGAACAGGGTGAAGAAGGTGTGGACCATGGCTCTACCAGAGCCAGCACAGACAGAAGGACAGAGATCATGCATAGGGTATGCTGGCAGTCTGTGGGTAAAGCCTTTTGTCACCAGGATGTCACATGACACTCACAGGAAGAGGTACATCTTGGGCCCCATCTTACCCTCGGATCTAGCCAACTATGTTACTTTCACAACTTCTGGATTGTGGTCAGAGAATCAGATTTGGGAGATATACAAGATCTGAGCAGATCCCAGTTCAGTTAAGAACCTATGAGAAGCTGGGCACCAGTAGCTCACATCCGTAATCCTAGCTACTTGGAAGGTTGAGATGAAGAGGATTGTAGTTTGAGTCCACCCAGGACAAATAGTTTGTAAGACCCCAAAATAACCAGAACAAAATGAACTGGAGGTGTGGCTCAAGCAGCAGAGCACTTGTTTTGCAAGTGCAAAGCCCTGAGTTCAAACTCATTTCACCAAAAATGAGAAATGGAAGGGGTGAGTTTGATCAAAGTACATTATATTCATACATGGAAATATAGCAGTGAAGTCCCTATGAACAATTAAAAAAACTATGAGAACTCTGCTTTGACAGGCCAGAAGGAATTAAAAGAAAGAAAGAAAGAAAAAAGCAGAATAGAGGTAAAACCACTGCCCAGTCACCCCCAGCAGCAGCAGACAGAGGTCACAGTCCAGAGGATCCAGAGCAGGTGAGAAAGCTGTTTATTGGTCTGAGCTTTGCAAGTAAGTCCTCAACTTCAAATAGAATGAGAACTCAGAGGGTTGGCAGCTAGACCAAGCCCTGTGTAGGACTTGGGTTAAAATTAATGTCTTGGAATTTCATAGAGGCAGAGAACAGAGGTTCCCAGGAGCTGGGAGGGAGGAAGGAACAGGGAGATAGTGTTTAGTGGGTACAGAGTTTCTATTTGGGATAATGAGAAAGATTTGAGAACAGATATAGTGATGGTTGCGCAATCTTGTGGATTACTTAAGACCTCAGAGGTATAAACCTAATAATGTTTAAGATACTAAATTTTATGTTATGTATATTTTAAAAATAAATTTTAAGCCAGGCACAGGTGGCTCATGCCTGTAATCCTAGCTACTCAGGAGGCAGAAATCAGAAAAATATCAGTTTGAAAGTAGGCCAGGTAAATAATTCGTGAGGCCCTATCTTGAAAATACCCAACACAAAAAAAGATTGGTGGAGTGACTCAAGTGGTAGAGCACCTGCCTAGCGAGCATGAGGCCCTGAGTTCAAACTCCAGTACCACAAAAAAAAGTTACACATATGGTAAATTTTATACTCACAAACATCCTTCTATAATAAAAGTGTAACATATATTATCTATATGTTATTAAATAAATGTACACATATTGGACACAAATCAAGAGTCCCCCATTCACACATGATCCTGGTTCTCTTGCATTTACTTCACATCAAACCCAAGGTCTTGCCTGATCCAGAAACCCTTCCCTGTCTGGACTACACCCCATCTCCAGGCCTACCTCCTCAAAACCCAGAGAGTTCATCTCATCCCTGCAGGGCAAGTAAAGGTCAAAGGACAATCCGGAGCCACAGACCCAGCTCCATCAACTCAGATGGAGTAGCTCACCACTCAGCTTCAAATGGCTCGTCTGCATGAGGCCCGTGAATAGCCAGGGGGGTGGAGCCTACCGTGAGCCTCCTGCAACCAGAGCAAGGACAAATATTTGCTCCACAATGGAAGAAGAAAGGTCAGTCCAAGGATAGGAAGCACTGTGAGTAAAGGCAGAGAGAAACCAGGGGACAAACGTCCAGCAATCCAGAAACTCTCACTTCAGCAGTCTCCTAACACTGACCTCTCACCTTGGGCCTCTCCTGCTCTAAGCCCATCTGTGGCTCCCAGGTCAGAACCCAGTGCAGAGACAGAAGTAGACATGGGGCTGGTGGAGTGACTCAAGTGGAATAACACTTTCCTAGCAAGTGTGAGGCCATGAGTTTAAACCCCAGTACCACCAAAAAAATAAAAACATAGAAAGAAAAAAAAAGTAGACATGCCAGAGAGACCCAGGAGTCCTTATTATGGCATATCATGTGACTCCTGAGAAAGGGAAATGGTTCCTCCTTCCAACCACATCCTACCAAGCCTGGCTCTGGCCTCCCCATGCCCTCTGGTAGACTGAAGTCTTCACAGTGCTCTCTGATGGCTGCACTGAGTGAGACGAGAACAAGGAAGTGTGGGAGCTATGCAGACTCCAGTCACATGTGCACATCACAAGAGACCCTGGAGGGGAAGACCCTGCCTGGTGGTCCTCAGCTGAAGGTGATTTTGTTCCCCCAGCCCCACCCCCACCCAGGGACATTCAGCAATGTCAGGGAGGGAGCAGAAGGTCATTTGAGTTGTCAATTTTTGTTCTTCTTTGGTATTTTGTTTTATTTTGTTTTTCATTTGTATATATTTGGGGCAGCAAAATTATGGGTTTTTTTTAATCAGGTATGGTGGCACATGTTTGCAGTTTCAGCACTTGGGAGACTGAGACAAGTTCAAAGCTAGCTGAGATACATAGTGAGTTTGAGGACAGCTTAGGCTACATGGCAAGACTCTGTCCCAAAAGTAAACAAATAAAGCCAGGCATGGTGACTCGAGCCTGTAATTCCAGCTACTCAGAAGATGATCAGAAGGACAGTAGTTTGAAGCCAGCCTGGGAAAAAAGTTAGTGTGACCCCATCTCAATCAATAAACTGGGCATGGTGGTCATATCTGTGATTCCAGCGACACTGGAGGACATAGGCAGGAGGATATTGGTCCCAGCTGGCAAAATCATGAGACCCGACCTGAAAAATGACCTTAAGCCAAAAAAGACAAAGGGTGTGGATCAAGTGATAGAGCGCCTGCCTAGCAAGCCAAGATCCTGAATTCAAACCCCAGCCCCACCCAAAAAAAAAAGAAACAGATTTACATCACGATCTGGCCAATCCACTCAAATGAATTTTGAGGTTCTCATTCTTGTGTCATTTTGTGGCAGCGAATGATAAAGAATGATTTTATCTATTATACATTTCTGTTAAGCCTGAAGTGTGCTGATTTGCACATTTCTTATTAAATTCACTACTAAATGTGCAATGCGCTAAAAAAATTTTCAATCCAAGGGTGCCCTCTACTGTCGATGCTGTGAACTTCAGTCTTACCCCACGACATCTCTGAAGGGACTGTGTCCTTGATTTTTTTTGTTTTGTTTTGTTTTGAAATTTTCTAGGGCTGGAGGCATGGCTCAAGTGGTACAGCATCTGCCTAGCAAGCACAAAGCCCTGAGTTTAAATCCCAGCACTACAAAAATTAAAATAAAATGTTAGCAAATCAAACCCAAGATTGAAATTTTCTAAATTTCTCTCCCTTTCTCTTTTCCCTTCACCAGGCAATGTTCAAAAGGTGTCTCTCATTGGCTTATAGCTCCATGTTTCTCCAGACACTGCCGTCCTCCTGACTGCATATCTATAAGCCTTTCCCTGCAGTCTGCTCAGGTCTCCTGGATGCTTGTTTCCACACACCTCAGGTGGAGTTCTGCCTTCTGGTGGTGGTGTCAGGACAGCTTTAGTCTGGCCACTATGGCCTGCCTTCTGTCCTTCACCCAGCTTTTCTCAAAATGTTCCTGTGGTAGCTATATGATTCATCCATGTAATGAAATCATAAAGAGGCATCAAAATGCGTCAGCTCTCTTTGCAGTAATGTGAAACCATCTTCAAGATCTACTGCCAGCCACTGGGAAAGGAAAGGGGGAAGGGAGGATAAGAGAGAGTAATGGAACCAGGAGCCACCAGTGGTTCACACCTGTAAATAGGAAAGATTGTGGTGTGAAGACAACCCAGTCAGGTAGTTTTTGAGACTCCCCCCACCCCCATCTCAATCAATTGCTAGGTGCAGTGGTGCACACATGTCATCCTAAGCTACATGGGAAGCTGAGATGGGGGGGATGGCATTTCCAGGGCAGAAATATTTTCAAGACCCAATCTCTCTATGTGGGGGGGGGGTCATCCAATCCAGGCCAGCCTGGACAAACAGTGAAACCCTATATCCAATATAACCAGAGCAAAAAGGGCTAGAGGTGTGATTCAAGTGGTAGAGTACCTGCCTCACAAGTAAGTGAAAAGACCTGTGTTCAAACCTCAGTACTGTCAAAAAAAAAGTGGGGGGGAGTGAACATGATCAAAGTATGTTATATGGATATTTGAAAATATCACAATGCAACTCCTTACTTTACACAATTAATACATACTAATAAAAATAATAATTTAAAAGTATAAAAACAAAAACAGTCTATTACCAAATGAAAATAGCAATAGATATACCATATATCTACATATATATAGATATAGATATCATGCAAAAAGTGAAATCCTACATCCAAAGTAAACAAAATTCCTCTGCAGCTCTCGTTTTTCTTGGCACAGTCTCCCTTGCTCTTCTTGACCCACCCGTCCCTTTTCAATTCAGCCTACTACCAGTTGGCTAAGGAATGGCCTTTTTACTGTCCTTTTACCTCCTAAAAAGTTGTCAAGCTGACCTGATGTCTAGCCGATGAGATCCTCCCAACTTCCATGTCCACATCTCTTGCCGTCTGTGCCAGGATCCCAGCCAACTCTCAGCGGTGTCCATTTCTCTTTCAAGTTCCTCTTGTCCCCACCGTGAATTACATCAGCGCCACTGGGGGTGGGGCCAAGTGACCTGGGTTGTGCTGCTGCCTGGTCCAGTGTGTTGGGATGACAGGCATGGATTGTTCAATGAGGCAGTTGGAAGTATAAATAAAATAATAAATCACACCCTGTAAACATTTTCAAGTGAAAATCTATTCTCTTCATTAATATTCTATTCTAATATAGCTGTCTGCTTTCCAAAATATTTCATATTTATTTATTTAATCTTCAGTGCAACATATTTAGCCATCTAGAATTTTTACTCACTGATTAAGCATTCATTATTATGTGTGTGTGTCCCTCTCTCCCGCCACCTTCCCTTCTTCTCCTCCTCCTTCTACTTCCTCTCTCTATAGTTCCTCCTCCTCCTCCTCCTCCTCCTCCTCCTTCTCCT